TGTCCTGGTAGCACTTAATGGAACGAGGAGTGGTGAAATAGCTTCTTTAAATTGCTGGCACAGTCCCATTCACTGGAATGGGAGCCTGGCTGGGGCAGGCTGGCGTTTCACAGCTTCAGCTACAAGTACAGATGCGTGTCTGACACTCGGGTGCAGTCAGGGGAGCCAGCAACAGCGAAGGCCCCTGGCTTGAGAGCTTTGAGACTGTGCACCGGACAAATGCAGCACGTGCTCCTTCCAGGCCCCAGTCTCATCCCACACACTGTACTGGGAGGCTTTCTCTGCAGATAAAGAAACAAGGGCTGCATTCAGGCAACAGCCTTATTGGTGTCTTCTGCAGGCTGGTGGGTGAAGGAGTCTGGTCTCAGTCACTCCATCAGGCATCTGCTGTGGCACTACATAGGGTACAAGACTCCTGTAACCAGCATAACTTCCTAGGCAGCCTTACATCAGTGGGTAAAACATCTCACCCCATGCGCAGATCAAGTCACCTCTCCCTGCTCCAGGTGCTGTCAGCCTGGTCACCCATCCTGTCACACCTGGTCCTCCACAGCTGGCCCCACCATGAGGGAGTGTGGCTGCTGTATGAACGTCTGTGCTGGCAGCAAGCTTGTTCAAAAGGTAAGTCACTTTTTTTTTCTGCTTTACTTTGAGATCAGGAATATGGGGATTTTTTTCTTCTTGGTTTTCTGCTCTCACAGTGACTTGTCTCATCACCTGAGCCATTAGCTAACGGGCTTGCTAAACCCAGCAGGCTAAAGGCTGAGAGGGAATATGATTGCTCTCTCTAAATACATCAGGAGGTAAAAACTATGAGCAGAGAAGAGGTATTAAACTAAAGGACAGGACTGGCACAAGCACAAATGAGTACCAATTGGCTGTGAACAGATTTAGGTTGGAAACTAGAATATTTCTCATCATGCAAGGAACTAGCCCTTCAGATAAAGCAGCAAGGGCCAACACGTCAGGATACTCCTGACTGCCCAATTAGCTGGTGAAGCGGGTGATGCAGTATCGCAGCAGCACACAGCCGTGGCGAGCTTGGAGCCAGACCCCTGTGCTTCAGGGGTTCAGTTACTCACCCCAGAAGAGACGGCTGGTGCCAGCCCTGCCCATGCTGGGGGGTGCTCTGACTGTGCTCCTCGGGAGGGACACGTTGTCCCTGGCTGCAGGGAAACCCGGAAGAACAGTGGAAAAAGAGGGAAGTTTCCTCCTTTTGCCAATAGCCAGTTGTGGTTAATGTGGCATGCCTGAGAGTTCCTCGCATGCACCACCGCGCTGACCGCGGCAATGCCACTATCTTCCCCGCCATTAAGTCTCGCAACTAGCAAATGACTCCTTCCCTTCTCCATGCATCCAAGAGGTGTCTAAATGCTGCTGAGTTTTTCCTAGTATGTATCCAAAACGCAGCGTTAGCAGCAAGCAGCTCTGTCTGTGACTCCACACAGACTCTTTTATCTCCTGCTTTTACTTGCTGGCTTCTTCAGCACGCAGAGCCTGCTCCAACTCCTTTAAATTATCAGCTAAAATTATCTTCTTGACCTGCTGATCTGAAACTTTCTGCTTGCTACTCCCACACTGAAGCAAGTTTAACACTTGCTTCAAGTCTGTACCTTGCTCCTTTCCCACTTGCCCTCTTATCCATGACCTCTAGCCCTCCTTTGTGGCCCCTAAGGCGGCTCAGGCCCCTTTCCTCTCTCTTCTCCAGCAGTCAGCCACAGACCTTACTTTAAGAGACTGTGTGTGCTCAGAATAATGTGAGCCGTGGGGCAGGACTGAAGGGTTCGGGCACTGCTGCAGCTGAAACCATAATGCTCTTCCCCATCCCGATTCACTGCCTGCCCTGTGCGTTCATGAGAAGGAGGGTTGTTACTTGCTCTAAGGAAGTGAAACACACAAAAAAAAAAAAAACCCAAACATTTTTCAGCAAGACTTGCAGGTGGAAACATGCCTTCAAAGCGTTACAGTCCAGTTTGCTACGGCTCTTCTTTCTGTCCTTCTTTGTACGTATCCTTCTTTGTTGCAATAGATCTAAACCAACGTGTTACGCTCCTTAGGGCAAGGACTGTCTCTCTTTGTTCTCCTCCAGCGCACTTCCAACGATCGCTTCATGTTTCCTGATGTGGGGAGGAAGGTGAAGAGAGGCCCCATGCTAGAAAGGCAGGAGTCACTAAATTACAGAGGAACAGGGTCTGAAGTAAAACACAGTGCAGTGATGATCTAGACCATGGAACTTAATGATTTCACTGTGGAACACGAAATGATTACTGTATTTTTAGGAAGACTTGTGCTAGCTGCAGGAGACAAACCCGCGCTGACACTCGAGAGCGGCATGAGTGCAGCTGTGCTGGCAGGGCTGTAGCAGGCGGCATCAGGCTGCGTTACAGCCCGTCCATCCGTCACCCACCGCTCCCCAGCTCCCGCTCACAGCGGTGCCGCCGGCCCCAGCGTGCTGTAACGCTCCTCGGCCGGAGCGAGACAGGCACGGCTTTGGAGATGGCCTCGTAAAACACCACCGGGAAAATCCCTGCTGGGATATTTAATGTGGAAAGTTTGGCCCGAGCTGTTCAGAACAGTGAAGAAATGCAGAAAGGCTGTTCAGAAATCTTTTCTTTGCAAGATTTATCTGTACGGGGACAGCAAAAGAAGTGCATACAACAGTTGGACCTGATGATCTTGGAGGTCTATTCCAACCCAATGATTCGATGAATGATTCTGTATCCAAGTGAGCAATCCCTCTGCAGCCAGCCTGAACAGCAGCCTGTGTGTGCTGGCCTTGGGTTTACACGGGGAACGTGAGGCTGCAGGACTTGGCACCACTGCGGGAGGCTGGGTTTCACCCCGACCGTAGCCCCCGGGCAGCAGCCACGGGCTGTTCGCACGAACAGCAAATCCAGCCGATAGCACTGCAGAGGAGGGGCTGTGCTGATGGGAAAATTGCAGGGCCAGGGGAGAGCTGCTGTGTTCCGACAGCACCTGTAGGTGACTGTGAATCGCTTCCCTCGTCTCACCAGCATGGATCCTGGCACCGGCGCTCGCACTGTCCTCTCTCATTGCTGCTTTGAACTCCCCTTCGTGTCTGATTGTCCCCTGAACCAAAAGAAAATGAACCCCAATTCAGGCATCTTACAAAGTATGATTTCTGTCAAATTCAGACTGCTGGGGTACCTTTGAAGAAGCAGGAGTGCTGAGGCCTGACTCACGCAGGGCTTAAACAGAAAGGAGTGGATCAAGCTCCTCAAGTAAATGCAGTAAGATCTGAGTTCGATTCATGCAAATCAGAGTTTTCATATAATGTGAGATCCCCCTGTGGAGATAGGATGGGAGATGGACACGGACAGTGTAATGGTGTTTTGGAAATGCAAAGGGTGTACCCATGGCTGTGTGTTTACCCAGGTGTGTTCACGTGTGTTCTCTGGGTGGGTTACACCTCTCTCACGTGTACTCACGATGGGGCTTCCAGCAGCCCAAGGAACCTGCAAGAGCAACGTCTGTCACAACAGAAACAGCTTTTGGCACGTGAAGGCTGCTCGGTTGGGCGGAAGGTCTGTTACTGTATGTTATTAGTACACAGCCTTCTAAGCTGCCACCCTAGTATTTCATGATCAAAGTTTTAATAAACATCATAAATTAATGTATTGAGAATATCAAACTTTAAAAGCACTGGTTTTGAATTAAAAGCAGATAGCCTTGGCAGGATGTAGGCAGAAAGCTTAGTTTAAGTCCCACTCAGTGAAACTGCAAGATCCAGTAATAGTGGAAATTTACTGGATCTTGGAACTTGAAAGAAGGGAGATTTTAACTCCTGTTGCGTGTACTTGACACAAGCAGGTATCAGGAGATGTCCAGTCAGACAGCAGTTACCCTGTCGATGCATTTTGCACTAAACATACTCTTCACTTTTTTCCCTCAAAAGGCAAGGCAAGCCCTGAGTGCCCAGCTGGGATGGGTGCGGTGAACAAAGCTCTGCTTTCACAGCCTGACAAAGCCCACGCTGGTAAGGTGCCCGGCAGGGATCTCCAATGACGGGCTGTCGTGGAATGGTGACTTGGGTCGTTGCTCGCTGCCATCGGGCTGGAGGTTTGTGTGAGCACTGAGGCATTAAAGCCCCTCAGCTCACAGAGCTGCTGCTGTGCAAAGCAGAGACCTGCCTAACCTGACGTCTCCTCCTTTCCAGGGTAACCCGGGGCCCCGTCCCCTTCTGCTCTGCACCTCTGCAAACCTCTGCTGTGCCCACTGGGAGGGAAAAGGACCACACTGGAATCGCTGCACTCTCTGTGCTCCTGGAGTGTGTGCCAGGGGCTGCAGCTGAGCAGGAGACTGGATCTCTGCTGGCTCTCAGTAGGTGACTGTCTCTTAAAAATGAAAACCAAACCCAGAATGGTCAAAGGGCTGTGAAAGGCAGCAAGAATTACAAATAGGGATAGAAAGCTAAAGAGAAAATCTTAATTAGATCTCCACCAACCTGTAGAGGAACATATTTGGATTAAAATGAAATGGAGCTTTGTACTCTCAGAGTTTCAGTGCAAGAATGGAAGAGGAATTATTCACATTTGCTATTTGTGAAGCTGGATTGCTTTTTCTGTGAACTTGTCTTTTTAACTTCTCACCTTGTCAGAAAATTGTGAAAAGCTGCCGGCATGGTGTATTTGGGGTAGTTCTTATCACAGCACATAGCAGAAACATTTCCATGGTTTCAGAACATGGGCAGAGTTTCCTATTTAATCCTATCCTCCCCAAGTTAACTCCTTTCCTCTTGCGGTAAGCCAGCCTGTCCACCATTCACCAACCTGCCTTATATTTCACTACCATCGATGTTTTCTCTTTGTGACTATCTATCAATATTTAATACAGTGGTGTCGGTTTTGCTGTAATATGAGAGGAACTACTAGAAACGTTGAATTATACATTGTGTGGCCAGGGGAAACTGGGGAGCGTTTTCTTTTGGACCCAAAGCTCTTGGAGTTGATCTCCAGGACCTGCAGCTGGAAATCCTAACAATGGACGAGCACCAGAAGAAACTCGGTCAGTGGCATGAGGGAAGGCCCCGCAAAGTGAGGTTCAAAATATCGTCAGCTTACAGTGGTCGAGTGCTAAAACAAGTCTATGAAGATGGGCAGGAACTCGAGCCCCCAGCCAAAGAGCACTCTCGGCGTTTTCTCCGCCACTGCTTCGAGCCAGGGGACCATTTCTGCGGGGCTGGGGAAACGCCAGAAAACAGGTTTTACTCGCCAGCCCAGCTGACTGCCCAGCGGATCAGCATATTCAAAGAGGACAAGAAATACAGTCTCACCAGTAGCTCGCCTCTCCTCAGCGACTCCCAGGCAAGCAACAGTCCTTGCAGGGTAAGTGATGTCCAGCCTGGGGCTGCCAAACTGTTTGGAAGCCAACTTCAGACTCAACCTTTTTTTACAGTAATATGGTAACAGGATTCTCAGACTGGAACCTCATTCAGCTAAAACTCAGTCCAGGATTTTAAAAGGGTAAATCTTCAGCTTTTATCCCACAAATTCTGTGCTCTGCTTACTCTGCACATGGCAGGATCCGCATGTTTTGCAGCAGCACAGTCAGCAAGTGAGCAGCATCTGCTAGCTGTGCTCCATCTTCTCACTGGGTTGATTTGCATCTGTCCTTTTTGTAGACTAAGATACAACATTTCCATATATATCAGTATCTGCGTGTAGGAATCAGAATGCATCTAAAGCAGTCAGATGTCAGGTGGATATTATCTTAATTAGTGATATTTAAAACACTAAAGTAGCATGACTTCAGCTGGCAAAAGGTTAGTGCCACCGGCGTCTACCAGCGAGCCTCTGAGCAAGGCATCTGCATCCTCTGGCAAGTCAGAACTCCCCTTCAGCTACTTTGGAAATCCCAGCTTAGTTTCACTGGGTATTTTATTAACATATAATTAATGCCATTGATGTAGAAGGGTCTCTTTAGTCCTAATAAAAGCCAGTACATATGTAATATATATGTTAAGTTGATTAACGTGCAGGGATTATGTTCATTTTCTTACCCTGCTGAATTAGATTTATGTATCTTTTGCTGCTATTTGGTTTTATCAAATCTAGATGCACAATTGCTGTAACAGTGATGGCATAGGGGCGCTATTGATAACAGCCACGTCACAGACAGGCAGGCTCTGAATGGAGTGCGTTACGCTGATACAATCAGCAGACTTGTAAAACTCGAGGTGAGTCTGCTCAGGGAAAAGATGATAAAAAGGAAGATGGTGTGAGGTGAGCTGGCTTGCTGAGTCGCTATCAGGCCTGTCCCTGGGGGACGGCTCATTCCCACCCTGTTCAGGCCGAACAACGAGCGGTTAGTGTCAGCGAACGGGCCAGCCCGGTGTCTGGCCGCTTCGCACGCCGCCCCGGCCCGCCCTGGTGCTGCCCCAGCTGCTTGCAGAAGGGCCAAGGATTGAGCGTGTTCCCAGAGAGGTCACTCAAGTACACCCACCGCTGCCATGTGAAGAAAGTTGTTTTGTCATCTGTTGTGGTCTTTGGTCAGTAAGGAATGTCACGCTGCACTGACACAGCTGAAGAGACCGAAGTGCTTTAAAACGCATCAAATGCTTCATATGGCCTTGATTCGAGTACATTAAAGGTCTGTTAGTTCTTGGTGCTGATCAAAGTTGCATGTAGGAAACCCAGATGGCTGATATTTGAACTCTATTTAGGCGATAGACCGGACATCTATTTTAACTGAAAGTATCAAACCACAATGAATCTCTCCTGCCTGAAGACAGAGCACTAACGTGATCTTATCCATGCCATTAATTTGTTCTGCATTCTTGGGTAACGCTCATCTCTATTCCTCTGTTTCCCTCACCATAAATACCTTGAGTCATCACGCTATCCAGTACCAGCTTTGTTTTGTATCAACATGCATCTGGTGTTTGGAGGCACCGTGTCTGTGTAACACATACAAGGCTTCTAAAGCCCTCTGCAAATGGTGAGGGTTTGTGCTCCCCTGCCTCCCCCTCCACGCTTCTCCCCATGGAGAAGGAGATGCCTGATTGCCAGGAGAGCAGCCAGCCACCTCACGTCAGCTGATGAGACTCTGGCAGGGCGTTTTCTCAGGAGAACATCTCCTTTAGCATCACTTCTCGACACAGATTCAAACAGAGTGAAATATGAAAAGTGTGTAAAACAACAGGCTGTGGTGACTGCCGTGTGGTACCTAGTGCAGAGGGAAAAAGGGGCCAGGTAAGCGAAAAGCTCCTTTCAGAGGTGTTTCACCATACTGAGTTTAGCTCTAAAGTCATCAGAAAACAATACAAATTCAAGTGTGCCCAGACACAGTTATTTAGACGGGCTCCTTGCTGTTAGGAACAAAATTTAGCATTAGATAATGAGTTTTTTTAATCTGACCTTTTGCCAGCATTAATAATCTACAAAGAGCTTTCTTTCAAATCTGAAAAACCCCATCAAAGGCAACAGAACAGGTCACCATCATGGGGAATGTCTACTTCTGGCCAAACCCACAAAACCCCCCTCTTCACACCCCCCACCCTCCAACTACTCAACTTTCAGAGAAATGCAGGTCAGTCCCCAGTGCAGAAGTCGTTTTGCCATATATGTCCACACCACTGCTCTTAGAGTTGGGCCTTTGTTTTTCTTGCATGTGCGTTGGAAGGAGAATTTACATCCCAGAAAGCCTCCCCCATCCAGAACAGGACATCAAAGTGAGGCTGCTAAGATCTGACCCAAAGTCTTGGTCTGATCCCATGGCCCGTGAGGACCGTCCCTTCACTGCCGTTCTGCTCGGTGCTCGGGCGGTGGTGGGGGCCTGGCTTGTGCTGCAGAGCCAGCCGCGCGGATGACTGCTTGGAGGAGATGTTCTCCTGGGAGCCCAGGGATCACCAGTGTGTGTGGAGTGTGTTTATTTGGGTGAGACACTGATAAGATCCTTCTGCAGGCTTCCCCCATTCTAGATTTTGGCAAGATCATCATCTACACTAATAACCTGAAAATCATCCGTGCGCCAATGGACCAGAAAGAGCTCATGAGAAGAATCATCCAGACCGAGGGAATAAATGACTGGGCCTTCGTATACCGGGAAGGGAAGGAAAGATTTGGTGGTGAACATAAAAAAGATGTGGAAAAAAAGGCTGCCTGCAACCAGTATGTGCAGGTAAGAGAAAACTGAAAATGCTTTTATTTTTTCTGCTAAGGCTTTTGGGTCTTACAGCCCTGGTCAGACCACCGAGTATTCCTGCCCCAGCCCCACCTGTGTCTGTATCTGGCACTTCACTAAATTTGGGCAAAACGCATCGCTTTGTTCCTCTTCCCACTCGGGAAGTAACCGATCAATGTCGCACTGCAGTTTGCGCGATGGGGGCAGCTGTTCTGTTTCCAGATGCTCACGTCTCCCACTGGATTCCTCCCCTGGAGATCGCTGGCGTTCACGTAGCTTGGCGTAGGTCCATCCCTCGTCACTGTCTCCCACTGGAGTAAGAGCAGGCCAGAGTTTCTCCAGGCTGACAAGGCTAAACACAGCTGCTCTGCGGCTGAGACTGCCGGAGGCTAAAATTTTAATACTGGCTGAAATAAGATGGTGTCTTCCACTTGTTTTCTCACGGGTTAGCCTTTGTTTGTCAGAATCCCAATTAGTCTGACCACAGTTTGATCCCGCAAAACACAACGTTGTCATGCAGGGCAGATGACGACGCACGACAGTTTTGCAGATCTGAGACTGACCTGTTGAGTGCAGGTTACCTTGGTCCTCCTGCGACCACGAGCCTTGCTTACGGCTCACTGGCACAAGGACCCCATGAAAGCTGAGAACAGCCCTGAGAGACTAAGTAGGAGTTTTGGCCTTTGTCAGTTTTGAAATAAACTCGATTTTCAGAAAGTGGGCTTTAACATCAAAGCCAAGGTTCATCCCATCTACTGGCAGATACCTATCTGAGTCATCAAAAAATAATTTCTGGCCTTTGGGGGCATGTATGTCGAAAAGGACCTCCATAAGGTAATGGACTGCCTTCCTCCAGTCGCCCTCACTGGAGGAGCAGCTTTGGAGAAGGACAACAGCATTTGTTGGCTGTAAGGCATTGTTCCAGAGAAATTTTTTAACCTTGGAAGAACTCAGCAAAGCACTTCTGTTCTCCTTGATGTTTGGCAACAAAAAGTAAAACCTGAAGGTTCCAAACCTATGATTTTTATTTTTTTTAAGAATAATTTTGGACTTGCTATACACTGGTATTATGAACACGCAGTTAAAGATGACCAAACCATAGGAAGGTTATTTTTCTGATGAGTCAATTAATTTGGACTATCAAATTCATAAGCAGGCACCAATATGAAGCATATCTGGCACCAGCTCCCTCTATCTTAGTTAAAGCCTCATTCCACAGTGCCACGTAAAACAGAACCGCTGCACGGGAACGATGTGGGATTCAGAACCCGGCATCAAAAACCGATCCTGTGCCATGCTGCATTCTTCCTGATGCAGATATTCAATCACTGCTGGGCTCTGTGGAAGCACTGAATTTTAAGACTGGATATGAAAGAGGCTGTCTGGCACCCTGGGAGAGAGTTGCAGGCACAAGGGACAGCTTGAAAGATGCTGTGCCTGTCTGTGATGAGGGACTCGCTGGGGAGAGGGCGAGGAGAAATGCTTGAAGAAATGAAGCGTGGCTCAAAACCAAGGATACAGAGCTGAGAAGATGGATGTGTTAAGAAACGACAGGAAGATGGGTGGAGCTGTGCAGACCCTTGCAGGAGAAGAAAGACAAATTTGCAAGTATTGTGTTAGAAGCCAAATCACATTAACTTCTCATTTTCTAGAATTATCCACAAATTGTCCTCAAATATACATGAGCCTTTTTCTTGAAGATCTTGCCGTAGAGGACCGGCTATTATTGGCAGAGTGACACGTCAGGAGCAAGAATTGCTTAAAGGACCAGAAGACAGAATTTCCTCTTTCAAGTATGGCTTTGGTGTCTGATATCCCCTAATAGATTTTTTTCATGGTTTGTCTCTTTCAGGAAGGAGATGCTGAACGTGGCTGTTCCCAGTGCAAAGGTTCAGGCTCTGCTCCCTGCTCGCTGTGCCACGGAAGCAAGTTCTCAATGCTGGCAAACAGATTCAGAGAGTCCTACAGGGCTCTGCGGTGTCCGGCTTGCAACGAAAGCGGCCTGCAGCCCTGCCAGGTCTGTGCTGCCTGAGCAGGACCGACACCCCTGCAGCAGGCACTTCGAATCCTGTCACCGTCAGGCAGCCTCGCCGTCAGGACAAGTTTTGAACAGAGGGGAAAGGCACGTTGTGCACATCTCGCTGTAAATGTGAACACCACACCGCTGCTGCCAGCCGCTCCCCGCGCCTGCTGCCTTCACCCGCCTGACTCCGAATCAGCCCCGGAGTCTGCAGGGGGAACACATCCCCTGACGCTGGAGGAAATCACCAGCGTTCGGAAGCTAAGCGCCTGCCTAAATGTCTCTGGAACTCAGCCTGAATCTGCTGGCACGGTCCTTCTGTTCGGTAGGTGCTGCCCAGCACCGCCAGGTCCCGACCCACCAGGAACTCCAGGAGCACCATGAAAAGCAGCAGAAGCGGGTGCAGTCTGGGCACGTTGGTAACTGCAAAGTCTGTTTGTAGGGCTACAGCAGAGCGGTGCCTCCCCTCGGTTTTAACTTCCCGAACGCTTTAAAATGAACACAGTTTTTTGTAGTGAACTCTATACTTGCCCTGCAGCGTCACGAGCATTTCATGAAGATTTTGCCGATTCTGACACCTGCTTTATCTTTAGGGAATGCAATGATTCTTTTGGGGTCTGATTTATGGGAAGAAATTGAAAACCCTTCCCAAACCTGGAGCTATAAAACCCGTACAATAATTTATTATTATAAATAGAAGTTATTAAGTTTTTAGCCAACTTATGAGGAAGTGCTGAACTAAAATCCCCTGTACGATGCTCAGCACTTTTCAGGATCAGGCTGGTGGTGAGCAGGACTCCTGTTGCTTAATATTAAACCCATGTGGTAATCTGCAGAAGGTAAACTCTAATTAGCTGAGGTGAAGCAACGATGTGGGATACTTTGCAGGCTGCCACTGGCAGCACAGAACACGGGGGCTTCAAGAGGTCGAGGCAAACAGGGGAAATGGTATTTTTTCTCCAAAGCATTAACTTATTACATTTTATATTCACGAGTAATGTTAATGCAGCCTTAACTTGCATATTACCCCTGCGACTCTGATGAGTTAAGAGACTGCTCACACATACTTCATGCTGAGGTTGCAAGCCTAGACAGGGTAATTTATGGCCAAGTTTCTATTTTCCTATGGCAGGTTTTAAGATTTCTCTGCAACACTTGAATGATTAGAAATCATGCTGGTTTAGCTCTTTGACTTCCATATCTCCTGCCAAAATTGTTCAGTGGATGCTGAGGGTTTATTTTTCAAAAAAAGTGCGTTGATCTGTAGCAGACACTTGGCTGGCTTCATTTATCCTATCAGGATCTGCAATATGAAAAGACGTAGTCTTTGGGCTATTCACTGAGGGCAGGTGAGACCTCACAAGTCAGAAACTGTTGTCAAGAGCATCTCTTCCCTCCAATTTGACCCGTTTGATCTCATAGCTGGGCTCGTTTAAAAGTTTGCCAGCTTAAGATGAAAAAAGCAACCAGGCAAAATTATTGCCCGATAGTTTAATGTTTACAATAGAACTAGATGCGAATATGCATTTATAAAATCAGTATTTATTGTTCTTTGGTAATTAAGGTGTTTCTCAACCACTGTTCCTCCTCCTGGTTGCGTCAGCTATTCCCGTTCATCCCAACACGTCCCTGGGGCGATGCTGGCGGCAGAGCCGTGTTCTTCCCTGACTTAGTCCAGTCCCGCGGGCCCTGGCGGGGCCCAGCCCTGGAGCACTGGGGACCGCAGGGCTTGTCCGTGCACAGCGTCAGGGCCCGGCTGTGGGCGACACGGCCAGCGCCACGCTGGGTGCCTTCACTCCCCCCCCCGCCTCCTCGGATGGGCTCACTTTAGTTTTGGTAACACGCTGACTTGATTTACCCACTAACCGCTTTCTTATTTCACATGGAAAAGAGGTCTGAGCTTTCCTAAAACATCACAGTGAAGGTACCGGTGAGGCAATGCGTTCCTTTCAACACGTTGCTAGTTTTATTTCTCTGCCAGGCAGAGGCTCCTGCCTGTCCC